GGGAGGAGAGGCCACTGCAAACCTGCCAAGCCACACCCACTCTGGTAATTTGAGTTCAGGGCTCAGGTTAACTTTTTCATGCACACAAGTGTGAGACAGTAACTGTATATTTTTATATTTTTATTTATTAAATTTGTATACTGCCCTATATCTGCAGGTCTCAGGGTGGTTCCCAAGATAACAGCAGTTCTGCTATAGTACCTGAAGACACATGGAGAGAAGACAATATGTTATACACTAAACCAGCCTTCTCCACCCTGGTGCCCTACAGATGTTTTGGACTTCAACCCCCATCAGCCCCAGTCAGCATGATCCAATGGTCATGGAAGATGGAAGTTGGAATCCAACAACACCTAGAGGGCTACAAGTTCCCCATTCCTGGCTTGAACACGTTTTTTTCAGAGGTGACGGACAGGAAAACAGGGAAGGCAGACCTAGATGGTTTTTATAGTCATTAGGCCAGGAGACAGAGGAGGAAAGGCACAGTGGAATTATCATGCAAACATTTTAAAGCACTGATGTTCTTAGATGCCCTATTATAAGTGTGCCAGAGATGTATAGAAGGCATGTTTGAAAAACCTAGGTATACTTAGTTAGAATCAGATCACACATCTCACTAACCAAACCCCCCCCCCCCATTTATTAACAAAGGTTTGTGATGTCCTGGCTCCCCGGCAACATATACAGGCAGAGAATATCACTTGGAAGGAAGGAAGATATCTTTATTCAGGCAAGTAACGGCACAGGCTCCGCAGCAGACGCAGTGCTCAGGAGTCATGATTTAGGAGCAGGGCAAGAAATTCAGAACTGAACAGAAGTGACAAAGATGTCCCAACAGGTTTCTCCGCCATTCCACCGAGCTTTTATAGATGAGGCACTACTTGTAAGGCTGTCTTGCCTTGTGAGAATACCTGGAATATAAGCACAGGCTCTGTCAAGGCATATAGGTGTGTTCCCATATGCAAAGGCATTACAGTGGAACTTCGGGTTACATACCGTCCTCCTTGCAAACGCTTCCGGTAATGAGCTCCACTAACCCGGAAGTAGGTCTCCTGGTAGCAAACTTTGCCTTGAGATGTGAGTGGAAGTCGCACAGCAGCGGTGTGGTGGCGGCAGCGGGAGGCCCCCTTAGCGAAAGCGCGCCTCAAATTAAGAACAGTTTTGGGTTAAAAACAGACCTCTGGAACGAATTAAGTTCATAACTGGAGGTACCACTGTATCTGGTCCTAGGTGACAACACTGCAACCTAATGCCTCTGTTCAATCGCTGCCACTTCAGCTGATTAAAGTCCTGCCAAGCCTCCACTGAGGCTTCCTGTTCTACAGGAAGGTCAGAGGGGACAGTCAGCATTCCTGTTCCCCTTTGCAAAGTGACTGAAGTTGGGGTGGAAATGGGAGGTTCCACCCCCACCCCCTTCAACCCTGGTTCCCACAACTCTGCCCCTTTCCTCTGTTTCTTCCTGTTCTGTTGGAACCTGGTCCCAACAGCACTGCAGGGCACATGACAGAGGACAGGAATGCCAGCTGGAGTCCTCCATGTCTTTCAAAAAGTACTTCCTCCCTTTTTTCCCTTTGACCTGCCATTACAGGTGCTGACTCCTTGTATACAAAGCAGAACACTCTTAATCTCACGCTATTAGATGCACACTCATTAACGTGTTATAAAAGAAATACTTGAGGAATGACTGGATTGTTGTGTAAGCTACTACAAGTGTATACAAGGGAAGGTTTTTGCTACAGATATAAAAGGTGGGCCTCCAGGCTGCTTGGCTGTGCCACAAGATCTGGGCACTCAGATAGTCTGGATATCTTCCAATCTACTTGCCAAGTTTGAGGCACATTGGGGAAATCTTGTGACTGAGTTCAATTCTTACGTTAAGATTTCTATTAAACCTGATACTGCACACCTTTCTTTCCCCCATTTCCGGGTTGCCATAGAACATGTTGGATGCTCCTATTGTGTAACAAGAATTGCAACTATAATTTGCACTGCCATATTTATATCCAAGTATTGTGTAAAGTCTTATCCACGGCTTATCCACAATTCTTCTTGCAGGACCAGGCATCGGACTTCCCATACCCCAACCTGTATAATGAGAGACCACAGAGACTGGTTTGGGGTCAAAACAGGCCACAACTTTATTGAATACAGATGAAAGAGGCTTGGCTTGGGCATGGGGCAATCTAAATACTTCTGGCTCGCCCACCGGAAGTGACGTGTGGTCAATCCAGGCAGGGGTTCCTAAGACTTACATCCAATAGGGTGAACCCCACAGGGACAACTGTCTGGGAGAGTGCCTTTGGCATATGGACATGGCCACTCCTCCCAGATCCCTTTAACAAAATATTCCAGTGTTTGGAGGGGCAGTCAGAGACTACAACCTCCCCTCCATCCAAAACAAAGGATTGCCCCAATGCCCAACCAACCACTGAGCAAATGCTCACTGCCAAACCACTCACACCTGCATCCATGCCCTATTGCCTTCAATCGTATCTCTCAGCCAAATATTGTTTCCTGCTAAGGAAAGATGCATGCCATTGGGCCGAAACAATGCCTCATTTGAGAATATGATCTTGTGGTGGAAAACTACCCAACCACCCCACTGTATGTGGGAAGGTGAACTGAAGCACCTTTGGCCAGTTGCTCCGTTTTTGAAGCCCGGATATTGATGTAAAAGGAGGATGGGGAAAGAGAGATATCGCTAATGAGAAGCCCCGCCCCCAACCAGCCCCACCTGTTCTATTCTGCACAGGCACACATTCACCCACTCTAAGTGCCCCAAAGAAGGCCACGGAATACACTGCTCTGAAGAGCCTATACTCAAAGCGGGACCAGCAAATCAATGGCAATAATCTCCAATTTTGCTTTACTATGTTGAAGGTTATGGGTCTGCGCTTATCTGGAGCTGGGGGATTCAATCTATGCCATCTTTCCATTGCCTTCTTAACTAAGAATTCCAAGCAAGGGTCGATGGAGAATAAGCATTTGGAAAAGAAAGTAATACCAGCCGCTTGGACCATTAAGGTCTTGGCTGCATTGCCCATGGACCTACGATGGGCAAGGTATTGCAGAACCTTCCCTTCCATTGGTGCTGAGGGGGTGGACCTGGCATACACGGTGCCAAACTGTAGCACAGGACCCCTGTTTGAAGCAGCGGGTGTGAGGCTGGAAGTGAAGGTTTCAAATTCCTCCCATGCCTTTTTATAAGATAGAAAAGCAGATGAAGTAGTAGTTGTCCTACTGCTTTTCCCGGGGGGAAACCACTCTTTAGTGCTCAATCAGAATAAATAGCAATTCGGGTTTTCTCTGGATTGACATTGCTTCCCTTGGAAAAGAGTGGGGCAAGGGGAAAACCACAAGGTACGGCACAAGCAGAAGCGTGGATGAGCCCAAAGTTGGCACAAGAGCTTGGATCCCTTAACCTTAAAGGAACCTTCAGTGGGAGGGGAAACTGTATTAAGGCTGTTGTGTGAAGTTCTGAAAACAAGCAATGCTGAAACGTAGTGTGAGAAACCATGTGCAAAGGAAGAAGGCTGTAGCATATAAACTCTAATGGGTCCTGAAGAGGTCTGCAAAAGAACTTGTATACAATCTTACACAAGAGCTTGAGCAAATGGAAGAATTTCTCTAAATGCGGGACCACTTTTCTTATGCAGTGCATTTCGACGATGCTTTCTGCTGGTGGAAGCCATGATGTTCTTATAGAAGCCCTATTATGGCAGAGTCCAGGAACAAAGTCAATGCTGCCGTGGCTGTCCTTGGCGTCTTCTGCTCTCCCCTCCCCTTGTGCACACCTTCCAATGCTCCAGCCCCAAATAAACTCCCTGCCATAGAGCAGCTTTCCCTCCTGCTACAACTGGGTGCCCGTCAACTGCTGTATCTCCATTTCTGTTTCCATCTCCCATAATAGTAGAATAATAATGGCTAGCTGTTTGCACGGATTACTCTGACAGTGTGCATGAAGCACATGTGTAAATATTAAGTAGTATTAGTTTCTTCCTCTTTAAATTGGCAGGTGACCCGACATGGGGGCGTATGTCCGCCTTTCCCTGTGGCATGTTGCCATATGGCACCATTCCTTCGCTGGAGCCATCTGGATTTGATTGAGTACACATGTTCTCTCCTCCCCCCCCCCTTTTTACTGGCATCGAGCCTCTTGATTGGTTGTGCACTCTGCTTGTGGAATAATCCGCAATAATCCAAGGATGTGGGATAAAGTAATTGGTGGATGTGGGCTAATAAGTCTGGGTGCAAAGGACTCTGCCTTAGTGCAGAGAATTGGACTGGATGTCCTAGTACTAGAATTCTGTGGTTTCATACAAATATAGCTTGTTTTCTTTAAACCGCAAAAGAAGTCAGCCTTATTCCCTTTGGGGTTGTCTTTAAAGTCTGTGGCCAGCAGAGGTCAGACCTGCACTACAGAACATACCATTGAAAAGAGAATGTATTGACTTTTAGAGAAGGAGCACCCTGAAGGGAGCACACCTAGCTCCTTCCAAATCGGAAGTCTCCACAGAGTGTGCGTTACTTTGTCACAGTCAGAATAACTTTTTCATGGATTGAATAAAACAGGTTCCACTTAGGAGGCTGATGTTCGCAATCTCTGCCGTCAAAACCGAGATGGTGCTTTTAAAACTGCATTTCAAATAAGATGTTTTTCAATGCTTTGCATAAATTCAAACTTTTCCATTAGTGAAAGCTTGAAGAGTGTTATCAGCAAGGTTACAAAATGTGTTTACTTGCAGATCTGGAAAAAGCAGCAGTGTTGAGGCATCAGATTTGTCATCTGCTCATGACTAGCAGATGGTCCTCCTCCTTTACAAGTGAGCTCCATGACTCACATGCCGTTTGCAAATCCAAGCTTGTACTCGACTGCAAAGGAGAGGTGGACATCCATGCTGCCAGCCCGTTTGATGCATTTGGTGTTTACTGATAATTTTTTCCTTAGATTTTCTGAAAGGTTGTATGTTACATTTATCCTCTGCTTTCTTTCTGGGAAGCTCAGGAAAATCCATGTGGTTCCTGCAGCTCTGCCATCCAGACAGCAACCAGATCTGCTGAGCTTCAGCAAGGATCCTCTTCTTGTAGATGCCTCCAGAGACTGTGCACTTTCCAGTTTGAGAGATACTGACTCCATCAAATAGCTTATTATTTTCAATCCAAGGACTGTCTCCCATTCCAGAACATCTCCACTCCATGAAATGTAGCATATATGCTTATTTCTATTTGTGCTCTACATAACAAATATCAAAGCATTTGAAGAAAGAAGAACACTTGGAATGTGGTAAGGGCCAATAGATAAGCATGATTTGTTATAATTTGGGAAATATAAGCAGATGTAGACACCTGGTATAGAATAGATAGGATAGAAGTTGTTAAGTTAAAGTGAGGTCGTCATTCAATTTTTTAAAATGAAAAAGATCCCAATTTAATAAAGGCCAGCTCATTTTTGAACCTGCTCCTGAGCATTCAAAATACTTGCAACATCCCTAAGCTCAAGAGAGAATGGAGAGCACACTTAATAAACAATCATCTGGAAATAACTGTCAAATTAGAACAGAAGCCAAATGCAACAGTTTGAGATTAATAACTTCTGGATTAATATAAAAAGCCTTGGTAAAGTTCAGTTCCAATAGGCTAGAAGCCTGCAGTTTTCTTTGTGTTTCATTGGCTTGTTACACGGAAAGATTTTAAACCTTCGTAGTTTGTAACTGTTATAAAATGTGTATTTTTAATTCAATTCCTAGCGTAGTTCTATCAGGGGTAAAATCACTATATCAATATACACCCCAGCAGCAGTGTTCAGGATTGCAGCTGTTACCTGTGGATATTGCGGGTGCCGTGCATAAGTGATTACAGTAACTCAAGCGGTGGTGGTGGTATTACATTAAATACAAGAATAATGTCTTTGGGTGTCAAGAACCACCACTTTCTGAAGCTGTTATCTGGTAGCCTCACCAGATTATGTGTGGTAGAATCACATATAATCACTATTACAGATTTATTTAATCACAAGGGAGTGCTTGGCAAGGTACAGAGCTATCTTCAATTTTTTTTTTCATTCCTTATTACAGTAACACAGCCTTTACCTGAGCAATCTGATCAAGGGGTGCAGCCCTATTTTAAATATGTCCCACTGATTAATTCATTCAAGTTACTGCTCCCAGTTCCAGCACCACTTTTGAGCAATTGTACTCAGGTGTGCTCTCTTAATGTGATTTGGCACCCAAGTTCCATGCATTTATCTCAGTGTTACCCTGTGACATTGTGATAGCATCTATCCAGTACTGAGGGAACATTTTTGACTTGGGATGCCGAGCTTGTGTACATGTTGGTATGTGCCACCAGTCTAAGCACTTAACAGCTGGGTCCAGAAATCTTAATATCCAAGCACATTGCCTCTGGTGGAATGTTATAAAGGGTGGCATTAAACTAAGTTTTATTCACAGCTGACCCCCCTGAATTCAGTGGATCTAACTTAATCATGTTCATTGATTTCAATGGGTCTATGCTGAGTAAAGCATAGTTGAATAACACTCAAAGAAAACTGCAGTGGGTTGAGTCAAGACTGAGCTATTGCACTTAGTCCCAATAGAAATTAATGGGTCTTACTTTTCAAATTGATTTCAATGGGGCCTTAGTTTAACTTGGTGAGACTGGATCCAGCCCAATATTATTATTAGCAGAACTGTTTTTTAAAGCCCCCCCCTTTTGTGCCTGAAGCTTTATTAGGATAATTTTAAAATAGAAATCTTCAAAATAAACAACCCCTATAAACCCTACTCAGTTCCAAATTCCTCCTGGATACATAACAACATCAAAGGCGATGCCAATCACACTTTGCCAATAATGAAAATGTCTAAAGCGGTATCATATTTTTTCAAATTCTTATGAGAGGCATTGTTTTTTTACATTTGCACAGAACAAATTTGCTCTATAAACATTTGTTTCTGTTGCCTGATCATGTTAAGTTTGATATCACTGCATGATGTTTTTATTTGCCATGCTTCAGTACCACTGTGGAGGCTGCAGAAGAAAGATGGTTTTCTAGCTATGGAAGGTGAACCCAAGATAACTTCTTTGCTCTTCTATAAACTACCCTGGATATATGATCATCTTTTCTGTATAGGATCTTCTTAGTGACGCGAACCAAACCTCATAGATTACTCCAAGATGTGTGAATTCAGTTAGCTTCAGACACACAATTTAGTTCACCTTTAGCATAACTAAAAACACTGAACATTTGAAAGTAGAATATCCCCTGCATCTAATATTATATTAATTTTACTTTAACCTGTTGGGCCTATTAGGGTCCAGGAACCACCTGGCCTTTCCCTGGCCCAACAATTGTCTTTCCCTGTTGAGTAAGGATATGTTTTTGTGAAAATAAAAAATTGCATTTTTAATGCAGTCTTCACCAATGTTTGCTCTTTTTCAGCTATTTTGTTGTTATTTAGGGATTTCTGTAAATTCTAATAAAAACTAACCTGATCCACAACTTCCTAATAGGCAGAACAAAGTATAATCATCCTTTGGATTTTGCAGTCATCCACATGTTGAGATACAGTTCTTGACTTTAAAATATAGCAAAATGCATGAAAAATATGTGCTTTAGGCTAAAATACATTTTAGAAACATGACATTTGAGAGAGAGATATTTTAATCATGCATAATTCTTTTTAAAAAAACAAGTCTTTAAAGATGCATTTAAATACAGATTTTTAGGCAGATTTTTTATTATTATAAAAAAGCAGATTAATGCGGACAGGGGAGAGAAAACATGTGAAATTTGCATGAACCAGAAAGAGCATGATCTATCCATCTCTGGTAGAGGATACTAGATGCTAATGGAGTTATTCCTTTGTTTATGCCCATTTGAAAGGTGAGTTAGGAAAAGGGATATCTTGACAAAAAGTCGCACAAAGTTGTTCAATTTTTTTGTATATGGAATGCGGCTACACAGACTCTCATCCAGTTGCATAGTGATAAGATGATATAAATGCAAAAAAAGGGAAGGAAATAAAATACAGTTTTATTCATTTATACATATCTTTCAAAACCACCCTTCATCCCAAGCAGAGCCTAAGGCACAAAAGAGCAGGCAATAAATACAATTACAAAACATAGATATCGTTCAGAAAACAGAAAGCCATATATGTTACATTTATAATGAAGGAAGCGTTCCAAACATACTAATATGTTTGGAGCTCCCTTTAGCACTTTTGAAAATTGAAATATTTGTTCCAAAGCACTTCAGAAGCTGTCTGATTTGACTCAAGTGCTGAATCCAAATCACAGTTCCTCTGCCATTCACTATTATTGGGATATTTTAAAATACAAAGTAGTTTTTCTTTTTGGCAGAATTTGATGAAAGGTGCAGACATAGTACCCTCTCCAAAGTGGAAGCCTGCCAAATTACAAGTAGTTTTAGGGGTTTTGTGTGTGTCTATGTGTCTATGTGTCTATGTCTATTTTGTATTTCCAAAATGAAAACACAATCTGCAACTTTTTAAAAAATGTTAGAATTGGATGTAATATGCAGCAACGATAGCACCTTCTGATTGGATGAATCCTGCCAATTTACAGAAAAATAACTTCAAGGATTTTGGAGCTAGGTAACCTTTAAGACTTATTTGGGGGATTTGTCTCTCTCCCTTTGGTCTTCTGGGCAACAATTTTATTATGAAAATAGCATACAGTTGCCCCTAGGAGATTGTTGTTGTTGTTTAGTCGTTTAGTCGTGTCCGACTCTTCGTGACCCCATGGCCTAGAGCACGCCAGGCACCTCTGTCCTCCACTATCTCCCGCAGTTTGGTCAAACTCATGCTGGTAACCTCGAAAACACTATCCAACCATCTCGTCCTCTGTCGCCCCTTTTCCTTGTGCCCTCCATCTTTCCCAGCATCAGTGTCTTCTCCAGGGAGTCTTCTCTTCTCATGAGGTGGCCAAAGTACTGGAGCCTCAGCTTCACGATCTGTCCTTCCAGTGAGCACTCAGGGCTGATTTCCTTAAGAATGGATGCGTTTGATCTTCTTGCAGTCCATGGGACTCTCAAGAGTCTTCTCCAGCACCATAATTCAAAAGCATCAATTCTTCGGCGATCAGCCTTCTTTATGGTCCAGCTCTCACTTCCATACATCACTACTGGGAAAACCATGGCTTTAACTATACGGACCTTTGTTGGCAAGGTGACGTCTCTACTTCTCAAGATGCTGTCTAGGCCTGTCATTGCCCTTCTCCCAAGAAGCAGGCATCTTTTAATTTCGTGGCTGCTGTCACCATCTGCAGTGATCATGGAGCCCAAGAAAGTAAATTAATCTGCAATAAAAAGTATCTGTTTCCACATTTTAGCATTTGTCATATATGTCAAGCTTGTGGAGAAATGTTTCAATTTTTGCACTTCCTGCATTTTTTAAAAAGTCCAAATCTCCAAAATGCCCAAAAGAAGTTAGAAGGTCCCTGCTGTGGTTTGGGGTGCCAACAAAAGTCAATTTTTCCTCAATATGAAAAAAATCACTTTCCACAAAGAAAATAAAATCCAAGGTACTTGATAAGATCACAAAAGGTAATAATGTTTTTGTGAGAATTTTTGTTATCTTCCAAATAACAACAGTTTGCAACCAGAAATTCAAATGTCACAGAAAACAAACCAAAACAGCTGTGAACACAGTATGTGGTGTAAAAAAATGTGTTGTAATATATAACTGAACTGCGTCCATGACAGTCAACTGCAATGCAATACAAAGGAGCAAATCTCATTGGCATTATGACTTAAGCTATATGTTGGTAAAATGCCCTCCAAACATTGACCAGACTCTGGAGCCCATCACCAGCAACATCTGGAAGGCTACAGTTTCCCTACTTTAGCAAATAATAGATCTGAAAATAGATCTAAGTGAAAGCTGTGAGCGATAAGAAGCTGTACACTGAGTGCTACCAAAGATGATTCTGTATTGTATAATAGTTCTGATGGTGAAACCAGGGTTCGGTTCCCTTCAGATGTTATTTCCACTGCTAACAACTGCCAAGCAGGATAAGTCTATCAGCACTAAAGACTATACAGTGGCTATGTTCTACCTCCACCATCAGAGCCAGTATGCCTTTGAATACCAGTTGCTGGGAATGGTTTGCAGGATTCCCACGGGCATCTGGTTGGCAACTGTGAGAACAGGTTGCTGGACTAGATGGGCCACTGGCAGGACACAGCAAGTTCTTCTTATGTTTTTAAGCTCTAGTGTTTGAGCTTTAAATGTTAAGCTCTAGTGTTTGAGCTGTAAATGTTTCTTTAATAATTAGCAAGAGCAAAAATTATCCTCCCAATCCCCTTTCTGCACAGCATTTACAGAGGTGTATATATTCCACTAGCTTGGAGTTTCCAGTCCTGTTTTACGTGCCAGCAGTAATTGCTATGCTGCACAAGCTTTTACTCACGCTATCAGATAATGGCAAATATTTGTACAAGTAACATTTGAATCTTGTTTACTAGGGTACTTTCTCCAGGCTAGGATAACTTGCCCCTTTTTATAGCTGAAAGGGCCCTTTCACAAGCCCACTTGATCCCATGAATATCGGAGAGAAAAGTCACTAACCTGATGACTCTTTCACTACAAAATGTTCCCATGGACTGGTCTCAACCGAAGCATCAGATAGATTTTGTCTGTCGGGACTTGCTGCAAGAGTTACTCAGCACTACAAAGTGTTTGCTATGTAAATAGGTTTATGACACTTCCTCAGAAGAAGCCCAGTGGGGAAATGTGCCATGTCAATGCAAGTCAACACAGCATATGAAATACTCCTGAACACATTTGATCAAACGATTTCCGTGTACAACTCAAAACACTTTTGCATATGGGAGCAAAAATGCCAACTTTTCCACCTCCAGCTTTAATACTACAGGGCTGGGGGTTGAGTGGGAGAGTTCGGGACTGCTTGCTTTACACTGACAATGGAAAAATTTGACCACGGAGGAGATAAATGAGTTTCCAGCACCTTTTTTTCCTCACTTATGTGCTGGTTTGACTTTGAAGCAAGAAAAAGGCAGTTTGCTTCCTTAAGAAAAGACACTACCAAGCACAACCTCCACTTCTAGGATTTACAATCATGAATTTGATAGCCAAAATGAAATTCATGACAGAACAAAACAAAAACAAAAAAAGGATTGTTCTCTCAAAATAGCACTCATTTTTTTAATGAAACTATACATGTTAGAAATTTTAAATATTTTAAATTTACGCTTTACATAGTATACAAGACAGTTGTTAAGTATATGGTAATTATTTTGATGATATCTAATTTGGAGTTTGTATTTTCTGAGATATCTTCTTTCAGTATGTACAGGATCCAAAGCCCCAGATCCTTAGTCCATGAAGCTTCCATTTTAGCTATCATTATTAGCAGCCAGTAAGAGAAATTGAAGCTTAGTAGACAGGTGGCAAATGCTAGGAAATACGAACGCAATGCAATCCATGATCAGTCCAACATAGCTTCAGAAGAATTTGCAAATTATTAACTTTGAGCATGCTCTGTCCATCTGTGTCTCCAGGTCATTGGAGCTGACTTAGAATTCCACCTTCAGTTAAAACATATCTTTTGAATTTTTTATTAAAACAATTGTTGCTTTCCGCCACGATTATATGTATTATGTGCTGAAAATATCCAAATTTTGCACCAGGAATCTCCAGAAATCTATGTGTACATTCCATACATTTAAAGCATATTTACACCCAAAGGATACTGGAAACTGCAGTTGGTTCTGGGAATTATAGCTCTGTGAGTGGTTAAAGTTTCCAGGGTTATCAGGGAAAGTCATGCTTTTTAAATGGGTGTCAAATGTAGTGTGTAAACTCCACACCACAACATTTGGTTGCTGGTCCCAATTGTTCAATTTATATATAGAAAGTGCCTAAAAGGGTGGCGGGGGGAGAGAAACTGAGCAAAGAAACAGAAAAGATGCCCTCTTTTCTTTTTGGCTATTGTTTTTAAAAACAGTATTAACAGCATTACAAAAATGACCAGCAGTCATGGAGTCTGCACTTGCTCTTGTTGCAATGATGTATCTCTATTAAACTTTTATTCTGTTGTACACGCCTAAAAACATTCACTATTCACTCTAACGATTTAACTGATGGAATGTTAGACACATTAACTATTGATCCCAGTTTTCCTGTACTTGTCAGGAAGAGGTCTTGCATTGCCTCTGATATTTGTATAAGAAATAAAAGCTGACCATGTTGCATTAAAGGAGTCCTGTTTTATTTTTCCACAGATTAAGAGAAGCTGGTGGGTTAATTTTTCTGCCACTATAGTGTGTGTGTGTGTGTGTGTGTGTGTGTGTGTGTGTGTAAAAAATAGCTTGGTTTTTTCCAGTATTGTGATACCATCAAATATGCCCCAAATGTTAATAATTTTTAAAACACTGTCCCCTACAAAAATACACCAGTAATTTAGGATGTTTGCATATGTTTTTACCTGTTACTTTAGTCATTTCTTTTACCAACAACACCTGCCTCTGAAAAGAGGGATAAAATTTCTGCTTTGCTTGAAAGTCCACTGGCATTCCTGCTACACACTCATCCAGTCTGTAGTGCCATCTATGCAACATTTATGTGAGTTCCCTCTCACTAGGAGCACCCAGAGAGGTTTGGTTTGGTTTATATTTCTGCAGAAGAGCTGATAGTA